CGGTGCCGGTGGCCGTGAGCGGGAATCCAACCCAGGTCGCCGGGTTTGTAGCGCAGTACGCTAACCGCGACACCACCACTGCCCACTTGCACAAAACAAAGATCCCCTTTGTAGCCTGAATAGACTGTTGGTGTAAGTGCTGTTAGTGAGCACGTGTTCTCACACATGCATCATGCCCAACAGAAACCAGGCCATCAGAAAAAACATAACACGGCTCTAACTAGAGTATTTGTTTACTGCAGACAAAAAAAACCCAATACAGATTACATATGCCAAAATAATTATGCGATTAACGACCATGAGGAATGGATGCAAATAGTGGGTTGAGACCCCTCATCAGCTGAGAGGCAGGGCAGGGTGCCGTGTGTGAGATTCATGCCTCACGCACGGCTCTGGGAGAATGTTTTACAAACATGCTACGACATGCGTGGGATTGTGCGTCTGTCTGCGCAAGCCAAGCGAGTTGGCACCCAAGCGCTATGAACCGCGGCAGGTCCATTCTCAGCCTCGGCTAACACCAGTGGCGTGTGATACTTTAACTGAGCCTCCTCTGTGTCAGCTCAGCCTTAAACGAGTACCTGTCGCGGCGCTGTAGACATCAGCATTGGGAAGACAGAGGTGTGTGGGGATGGGGCATGGTGTTGGTCACACCACCACCTCGTGCACCATAACCACATCGACGTTAATAGGTGTTCGCTAAAAGCACTTTGCTCCACCGGTTACTAAGGCTGCATGGGGGAATCTTTCGCGTGTTGAGTTACGTGTTGCACGGCAAGTGGTGGCGTGGTGGTTCGTGCAGTGCACAAAGTCACGAGCAACCTGGGTTCGATTCCGGGCTGGGACATACAACACACTACTCGCGGAAATTGATGTCGAAAACTTGCCTGGTAGTTGATCTCCTAGGCTGACTCAGCCTGAAATGATTCCCTGGAAGAGTGAGGCCTCTGCCTGTGACCGGCTGTTATGCCATTAACATGCTAATCTCTCACATTAACATGCCAATCTCTCACATTTACACGCTAATCTCTCACATTAACACGCTAATCTCTCACATTAACACGCTTATCTTTCACATTAACATGCTAATCTCTCACATTAACGTGCTAATCTCTCACATTAACATGCTAATCTCTCACATTAACACGCTTATCTCTCACATCAACATGCTAATCTCTCACATTAACACGCTAATCTCTCACATTAACACGCTAATCTCTCACATTAACACGCTAATCTCTCACATTAACACGCTAATCTCTCACATTAACATGCTCATCTATCACATTAACACGCTAATCTCTCACATTAACACGCTCATCTCTCACATTAACATGCTAATCTCTCACATTTACACGCTAATTTCTCACATTAACATGCTAATCTCTCACATTAACACGCTTATCTCTCACATTAACATGCTAATCTCTCACATTAACACGCTTATCTCTCACATCAACATGCTCATCTCTCACATTAACACGCTGATCTCTCATATTAACATATTAATCTCTCACATTAACATACTAATCTCTCAGATTAACATGCTAATCTCTCACATTTAAACGCCAATCTCTCACATTAACGTGCTGATCTCTCATATTAACATGATAATCTCTCACATTAACGTGCTGATCTCTCACATTAACATGCACATTTTGAAAGCCTCTCCCCACCACGCTCGTACAGGTCGCCAAGTTCCTCTGACCATACTTCACCGCACTGGTTCGTGCGGGTTGATGAAGGGAGGGGTGCACGGACGATATTGAGTGTTGCTGTTCTACCATCTGATGATAACGCAGGAGCCTACGGCTGCTGTGTAATGCACGGTGGTCGCCAACCCCAGCACCATCCACGCACAAGAGTGCTTAGCATTGCGTAGCGAGACGTTACCATGCAAGAAGTGGAGTCGACGCATACGCTCACGACACTTGCATCGATGCGTGCGTGCGTGCGGTTATTGGACGTTCATCTACACGTGTGTATATATTGTGCGTCATTAGTTCGTGTGATCCATGCAGCCACGACGCACCTCGATGTAACAAAAATAAGAGGTGGAATTCTCGACGAAAGTCGTGACGTAGTTATCGTGATAAATTATTGAATTATGGGTGAAGCTGGAGGAGGGAGTTGGGGGGGGGGAATCTTTACCACCGTCATTTTGAAGTGATGTTCACTAAAACGACACCCCCCGAGCGGACAATTATCGTGCAGATTTTAAAAGTGCGTACGCGTGTCGTCACGTGCTTGCCATGGATGGGGTCACTCTGCACCCAGGAGAAACCCCTTGCAAACGAGAGGCGTTCCATCTCACGGGGGACATCCAAGTAGAATATTTCTAGAAATAGATGAGATCCGAACCAATGCCACGACCTTATTTGGGTTGCCCACCTGTCCCGGTTTGAGCCGGACAGCCCCGCGAATTGTCTGGCGTCTGTGCTTCGGCGGCAGGAATTGGTCCGCTGCTGAGCTCTGGCGGGCATTTGAGCCGAACTTTTCTTCAGAATATTCGCGCACAGTTTCGGTAAGCAAGACCTCGGCTAATTTGTAAAAGATTTCCCGATTTTCATCAACAGTTGAAAATTAAAGGCGCCCCATCGTCAAGGGTTGCAACCCAGCTATGGTCACGTCGGCGAGCGTTGGGGCTCGCGGGCTCGCTGTCGTGGCTTTGGCCGAGCGATCGCTTAATTTGAGGACTCTGCCGTTTGGCGAGTGCCCTCTTTGCTCGGGATTAATGGCACAATTATGGTGCAGTCGGGTCCTCGCTAATCCCGTGTTGAGCAGCGTAATTAGTCGGCGGCTGCATTTGTAGACTGAAGAGAAGGAAGGCGTAGCGAGGGGAAGGGTTGTCAAAGCAGCTCAGTATCACGTACTACAATTTTTATTTTACCTGGTGAGGTCTACTGAGCGATGTGGCTCTTTTGTCAGAAGCGACCTGGCCACAGATTATAGCTAAAAAGGAGTGGCTTGTCACGTGGCAAATCCGCCTGACCACGGACAGAGCACGCAAACGCTAAATAAGCAACAGGCGTCAGGGTCGGGATCGGACCCACGCCCTCCTGTATACCAGGCGATGTAGTTAACAGCTTGCCACCGTGGTGCACCACTGAGATGTCCTGGAGTGATTAGATACACATATACATAGCTATGTATAGTACCAGTATAACCAGCACACGCAGAAGGACTTGGAATCAACGTGACTTATCACATTTTTTGCTTCAGTGAGCATACACACAAATTAAAAGGCTCTTTAAAAGTAACGTGTTTATTTGAAAGGGAGATCTGACCTTCAAGAAGTATTGAAGTTGAGAGGGAGATATAAAACGGTCCTGGTAGGTGGGTTTTGCAATTAAGACAATTGGAAAATCCCTATCTATCTGACCCTTCAACCCTTCTAAGCTTTTGCACAAACCCCATCTTTGAACAAGGACATCTACCTACACACGTGCCCTATGCGCGCGCGTGTGTCTAAGATTGTACGTGTATGTGTGAGATTGGTCATCCATTTAGGGTGGCAAGGTGGCGCACGGGGCTAGCACTGTGCCAGCACCGCTGAGAGTCTGGGTTTGAATCCAGTTTTTCGGCCACGTTTAATCGAGGCCACCCATGCCTTCAAGAGTCTCGAGTTGATCGTCTCACCTTAGCCATCAGTGAATGACTGCACACCAAAAAATATAACACTGGAACGAATGTAGCTTTTCTTTATTGAATTTGCAATATTCCAAATCTGACATTTGAAATGTGGACTTGATTGTCGTGCAGGCCATACGAAAGGCGTGCCATTCGCGTGACGTCATCGCTCGCGGACATCCTCTGGGTGCACAGAGGGTGGTGCAGAGTGAGTCGTGACAGTTCCCAACGGAGAGGTGCCTGTCTCATGACGTGGTACTCGTACAACTGTGTAATGTCACTGCTGGGAGGGATGCTAAATAAAGAGATCATCCACGAAGCCAACCCCACCATGATAATCGTCGTCTCTGAGTCCCCGCTAGTCGATGATTTACCCAGGTGAGGCTTCGCTGAGTCTCAAGATGCCCTCTTAGGAGTGTCCCGCTTGGGGAATTCGACCACTTCCTTGATTTATATTTTCATGAGTGGGAGGAATCTGTGGCGCCTGAGATTTCCCCCAACCTTCAGTATACCTTGAGTATAACTCTTAACAACGTGTGCGTATCCGTAGATAGCAGATGGACAGCGGTAGCTATAGCGGTTAGCGCACTGCGCTACAAACCTGCCAACCAGAGTTCGATTCCCGCTCACGGCCAACACCAGTGACGATTATCTGAACTGGTCCTGAGTCTCCCCTAGGTCGATTCAGCCTCAAATGAGTACATGGTGAGTTGTGCAACCATCGCCACTAGGGAGACAAAGGCGGCCGGGCGTGGTGCTGTCCACCCACCCCCTCGCAAGGCGTGCCGGCCTTCGTGGGTGCTAACGGCACTTGCCCCAACAGGTCTGTTAAGGCTACTCGGGGGATCTTTGTCTATGTTATAGGTAGAAGGTGATCATCATACTTGCTCCACTGCCATCTCCTGGCCACCTCCTATCCTTGCATGTTCAAAGTCCGGTGCTCGTGACGACCCCTGCATGAGCTACCAACCCCACCTCAGATATGCCCCACCACCACCACCACACCCGGCGCAAACAGCAACTGGGTGTTGGATACAATCCCACAGGTACCCCCCCGTTGCGGGCACCAATGGGCAGTGCAGCAACATCCATTGTTGTAAAGTACTTTAGTTCTGTGCTCCCAAGTCTACGCTCATTGCCTTCGACAACCCGCGACGTGAGGAGGCCCCTCGTCCAGCAGTGGATTGACAAAAGGCTGTCGTGCATGTACACCCAAGAGGGTTCTGCTTGTGTTGCATGTACCACTGTCACAAACACCACCACCACCACTGCAGTGATCACAACCTCAACCATCACCACCACCACCATCATTACAACAAACACCACCACCACCCAACATCATCATCAACATCACCACCAGCACCACCAGCCAGCACCACCTACAACAACCGCCATTTGCCACGAACCGGCATTGACATCACCATGGCGCTTGTGCCAGGCCAGGTCCACTATGAGGCCTGCCTGCAGCGTCTCACGGGTCAGACCCAGAGGTGCCGTGGGGTCGACCGACTGAGACGACGAGCGGTCGCTACGGTGCCGACTTGCGCTACCGCCACCGTCGCTGACCGCCGTCACTCATCCACGGCGCGGTGCCCCATCTCGTGCAGGACCTCCCGCAGCCTCTCCACCCAGTCCTCGGCATCGTCGGCGGAGCCCGCCTGGAAGAAGAGCTTTTGCCCGGCGAAGCTCAGCTCGAGGCAGTCGGCCGGCGCGGCGTACACCGACAGCTTGGCCAGGCCCAGCAGGGCGACGCTCTGGCACAGCCGCAGCGAGTACGCTTTGTGCAGGACGTAGCCGTCGTGCAGCGACACCGCCACCGCTCCACGGCCGGGCCTCTCGCCCGGAGCGTCGGCGAACGGGAGCGCCGTCTCTCCCGCGGGGGCGGCGGCGTCGACCGGCGAAGGCGGCGGCGCGGGGTTGTCGGCGGCTCGGCCGTCGGGGAGGTAGAGGCGCAGCTCGGACGCGGTCAGCTCGCAGAAGTACTCCTTCCACGTCTTCATGCGTCGTCGCTTGAGCAGCAGGCCCATCTTGCGCACGCCCCCGAACGGGTCCTCCGCTCCTCCTGCCGACAGCGACGCAGACGACACGGCACTCAACGCAACGAGGTAAACGCGAGACTGCCGCCGCCGCCGCGTAGGTTTTCGCGCCCGTTGCTGTGCTGTGTTGCGGTCATCACCAGCTTTTTCCACGGATTGACCACACGCGGACGTTTGTCTCAGTTGGCCAAGGTCTGTCAAAACTGTGCAGTAAACTGGAATAAAGTTCAACACAGCGACACCGGTACCAGATCTGTGCACAAAACAACGACTGCCACCTGAACACAGATGACGATTCCTGGCCTGCCCAGGTCTGACCCTGGTCAAACTCGGGTCAGACGCAGACAGGTTGCAACCATAGAAGTATGGCACCCCCATCTTCATTTTGGAATCTAACTCGTATGGATCGTATTGTGTGTCACAATGTCTGACGTTTCTCTCCATGGGCTGTGAGCTTTTTTCCAGCAAAGTAAACTAAGCCTATACAATTTTTACTTTATTTTGTTTTTACCAGACAAGGCCCACTGAGCTTTATATCTGTTTTTTTTCATAAGCGACCTGGCTATCACAAATGATAGCTCAACGAAGTGGCGCATCATCGCGTGGACATTTAGAGCAGCTAAATACATCTAAACGCAAGTTGATTCTAAATGCAGAAGGAAAAACCAGAGAACCCGGAGAAAAATCCACGCGACCACGGTGAGAGAGAGACGCAAACTCGAAATATACAGCAGGCGTCAGGGTCGGCATTGAACCCATGACCTCCTGCATACCAGGTGAGGTAGTTAACATCTCGCCACCCTGGTTCCCCTGAACACCTGGGAACGAATCAGAGCCTACGTTTTAGGCATTCGTTTGTTTCCGTTCTCTCCCACGCGTGATCATGCCATTGGTGTCACGATGGAGACATGTCCAGTCGGAACGCTCGCAGATGGCAGTGCACCACTTCGTGTCAGAGAACGGGCCTGCAGGATGGTTTTGTAGAACTACTTCTGAAATCTCATCAACAGGCCTCTTCATCGACACTATGGCCCAACCCTTTAATACAACCAAAATCTACAATTCTCTGAGCAGGAAACAAACGCCAAATTTCGTGAAAAAACTAAACTATAAGATAATCTCATATTGTTTAACATTACCTTCTGAATATATGGATAATTTTGTCGAGATCACCAACTCACTCCAAAGTGAGAATGCGGTTAAATCATAAGTTGCTGGGGCATGCATGCAAACCCAGGAGCATGCAAACCCAGCATTTTACAACGCGTGCTCCACGCGGTGCTGCCCGGAAACACATCCAGCGCGACCGCGAAGAAAGACTCACTCCACTCAGCTCCTGAAAAAGCTCCCAGAACGTGGGGAGAAACGTCGGACTTTGTGCCAAACAACCCGCGGTACAACACACACACACATACGCACACTCGGAGAGTGACCATGAGATACTTTGGGACGAAATAAAAAAGTGAAGCTTTAAAACTATTAAGCAAACAAAAAAATCAGAAGCAAAGACCAACAGCGGAAAATGCAACGAATGACGTGAGCAGCCCTACAAATGCGATTGATTGCTTGAGGTCTGTGCCGTACAATAGTTGGCGTCGATAGAGAGAGAGAGAGAGCAGCAAACACTGCCACTCTACTACGTAGCGGTTCCTCCTCGCTGACGCTTAAAGACGTTCGGCGAACATGAGCCCCGAGGCCCCTAAACAGGAGGGAGGAAGAGTGCCTTGGCAGTGCCGTCATCAGCCGGAGTGAAGCTCTTAGCAAGCGGGAGGTGCACTCTCTGGTTCAATTCGGTAAAGTCACGTAGGTAAAAAATAAAACAGCAAAAATCACGACGTTTCGGCCACAACACAAGCGGCCTTCATCAGGTGAAGGGACCAGACTGTCTCGAGGACAGCGCTGGAGTGAACACAGCCAAGCTCAGACCGCGATCTCAGACCGCGCCAATTCCTTTGTCAGGGCACCTTAATTCCTCTCACACAGCTTAAAGGTCGCGGTCTGAGCTTGGCTGTGTTCACTCCAGCGCTGTCTTCGAGACAGTCTGGTCCCTTCACCTGATGAAGGCCGCTTGTGTTGTGGCCGAAACGTCGTGATTTTTGTTGTTTTATTTTTTACCTACGTGACTTCACCGAATAGAACCAAAGAGTATGGATCCTTGCAGTCACGAAAGCTTCAAATCTAGAAGCAGGAGGTGATTTATTTTCCTCCTTTGTTGTCACGTATTTTTTATTATTTGTATCGCTGTTATCATCGTCTGCGTTTGGCAACCACAGCGGCCTCGCTGGCAGAATGCTCGTCGTGTCCTTTTAGGGGCTCCGGCGGTGGAGAGGAGAGCTTTTTTTAAAGTTTGATTAGCGGTCTTTTCACCGAGACGGCGCAATTTACTTCCATTTGCTTTGCCTTCTGAAATAAACTAATGTATTTTTTTGTCATTTGTTAGATTAGAGAAAGAGAGAGCGGGAGAGAGAGAGAGAGGGGAGAGAGGTAGGTAGACGTAGACGAGAAAGAAAATTAAGCACTCGAAAGCGAGGCAGATTGTGAGGCCCCCGTCTCTTATGAGCTTTCAGAGCCCAGCTTGCGGCCTCACTTAAAGCCTCTCAGACTCCTAATTAGCCCGCGGGGTGTGCAGCGTGAGGCATATTGGCCGTGGTTGCCCAGGGGGCTGTTTGTGAGCTGCTGGCCGTTCCCGGCGACACAAAGGGGGCCTCTCGTCCCCCCCAACCACCCCACCTCTCGAAGGGCCCTCCCCACTCTGTCCCGGTTTTGTTATTGTTGTTTGTTGTTGGCGTGTCACTCGATCTTTTATGTCGGCAAGAAAAAAATAATCCATTGCCAAGAATTGCCTCGTCTCTCCGAGGCAGTGAGCCAATAGCTCGGAATTTGTCTCGTTTGTTTGATCAGCCCGCATCTGTGTGGGGTTTTTACTGGTTAATTTATACGTGGATAGCCATGTTTTCGAATAAAGCCTTGGCTTTAATTGATAGACCCGTCAGTCACATGGCTGCGTCTTTTTATTGCTGGCCACTGTGGCATATGCCTGCAATGGAGTTCTTCAGGAGCAAGCGGTTCGTGGACCACGCCGATTTGTGAAACTCCTAAACCCGGTGAGCTCTAAGGCCAGGAAATGGCATTACAGAAACGTGGATTATTGAATTGATTTGTACAGAGCTCAAAGCGTTATCATCTTTAATACAGGTCCAACGATTTACTCCAACACGCCAAACACTCATACATAGAATCAGCCAAACATCCCAATGCAGGACGCTCTTAAGAGAGAGTCCTGAGACTCAATAATGTTTCCTGCCATTAATAAAGAGCATTTTTTATACTTCAAACAAATATAAAGTTTTTTTTCTACAGTTTACATGCATATTAGATTTTTAAATCATGCCACAAGATGGGTAATAGCTCTGTATAATAGCTCAAACCGTGCCAGGTTTCTCAAGCAGAAGTTTGGAGAGTTTCTTTTTTTATGTAGGGGAAGCAGAACATCCTTCTCCACGCTGCCCTGTCCTGGGCCATCTCTCTTTCCGCTCCTCGGGCCACCGTGCCCGATCGCTCCACATCACCCCCCCCCCCCCCTGATCTCTCCTTCTGCCTTCCTCTTGATTTCTTTCCTTCCACTGGCATCACTTGCACCTTCTAACCCACGTAATTTTCTCAACATGACCGAATCACAGCAGCCTTTTCTCTCTCATATTCTCTGCGATTTCTACCACCTTGAGCCTTCCGCTCACGTCTTCTTTTACCAGCCTGTCCTTCCTAGTTAAACCCAACATCCACCGCAACATCCTCATCTCTGTCACTGCCAGAGCTTGGTCCTCCTTCTGTATTGTGCCGCAGCACTCGGCCCCATTCAACAGCACCGGCCTCACCACCGTCTTGAACACTTTTCCCTTTAACTAAACTGGGAACCTCCTATGGCACACCACACCCGTAGTCTCTCGCCATTTCAGCCATCCAGTCCTTCTTCTTGTAAATCATCTCTCCTTCTCGTGATCCATCAGTAGAACATCCTGTTCCCTCGATTTGCTTGTTCTCCCCCCCAAACCCCGAAGACACAAAATTGATTCCAATTATGCGCACGACGTTATGCCATGAAATTAAGAATCCATTTGAAAACCTCAGAGGGAAATGCACCGTATGTGTCAGAGATTGGTCTACAAAAAAAAAAAATTCTTACGTGATTTCTCATGCAAATCATCGCAGCGGCCTTTTTAAGGCAATAAGGGTCACACTTTTTCACACACCCTCCTCTAAGATTATTGGGTGCAAACCAGTTAACTGAATTCTCTGAGCAGGAATTCTATGGCTGACACCACAAGCCCGCTACACTTGAGAAACCTGGCTGAGTGGCAGGCGGCTGAAACCCAGATACTAACCCAGATTCTAACCCAGATTCTAACCCAGATTCTAACCCAGATTCTAACCCAGATTCTCACCCAGATTCTCACCCAGATTCTAACCCAGGTTCTCAACGGTGCCGGCTCCGCTGTCCGACTTCTCATCCACCCAGCCACCGAGGACCCTTATTAATCTGACATTTTGACCTTCCGCGGGTTGACGTGGACCCTGGCGAAGTAACGCAACCATCTACTTCTGACGACCCATGTTGCCGGTGTAAGACAGACGACGCAATAAATGTGGCTGGGTGGCTCAGAGGGTTAATACCATGTCAGATCAGCGCTTTGAACTCTGAGCCACCTGGTAAAACTCCAGCCACTCCATTTTTTCGCTGACCCCCTCCCACCTCTGTGATTGTGTAATGCTGCCACAATCCCAATGGAAGGAGGTGGCCAGAATCACGGAGCCCTAGCGACGGCCGTCATTCGGTCATTCCCACAATGCACCGCAAGATGACAGCGTGATTACCGAAAGAGATGGGTGGCTTTGTGCTCTCCTGAGCAACAGCTGCTCACCTGCGTCCTATCCAACGGCGGACGCGTACGCCGCGCGATAAATGGATTCAGTGAAAAGCTACGTGAAGAATCAAATAACCTTTCACCGAATTGCCTATTTTTGTACCCGTGGCAGAAATGCAACACATTTGTCAATAATGCCATGGCGCGGAGAGGGAAACAAATATATAATAGTTGACGTTTCGGGCAATGGGACCTCTTCATTGGGCCTACGTTGCTATGGGAATTAGGACAATGATGGTGATTTACCAAAATGTGGTGGCAGCTGCAGAGTGGACATTAAAGACCGTGCCCCATCATATAATCTATATCAAAATTAGGCCATTCTGTACAGCAGATTATAGCCCGAGCCGAACATTTTTGAAAATGGCCAGCACCTTGATATTGAAAAATGACATATCTCTGTGGTTTCAGTCAGCCCGGTCTGTCTTCCAACAGCAGTAATGGATGACACTGGGCTTTCACCTGGCTATATAAAGGATGACAATCAATGAATCAATACTTTTTAATTAGCAGCAAAATATTTAATCAATTTACCGTTTTACAATTCAAAAAGCCGTCAAAACAATTCCTGCAAATTGCTCCGTGCGAGCCATTATTGGTCGCTTATCAAAATAAAATCAGGAGGTGAAGGGCTGTGCGATAATTGAGCAAAGAGAAGGCAAAAACAGCGTGGCTCTGCGATCCATTTCCCATTAATCATATTCATATTATGTTTTCATTTATTTTTGTTTAATGAATTTGAAGGCGGCTTCACAAAACACTGATGTGCCTATTTATTTTTTGTTACGACGGGCAGAAAGGATCATGAAAAAGCAGAGCAACACAATGCAAGTCCCATTGCTCCCCAGTTCCTGTGGTCCTGAAGAGGTCTTCAAGCCAGCGGTGACACAAACGGGAGTCTGTCTACCCCCCCCACCCCTACAGATTAACGAGCCTGTCATTAGATCGCTCAGACACGTGTTGAGTGGCCACGTGATGCTCTGCTTACGGGCTGACGTACATGGTAACGATCGGACGACAGACGCAAACCGCGTTGTTCACAGCCCCTTCTCGTCACTCCACTGCTGGATGAGGGCCTCTCTAAGCGCCGTGTGGCTAGTGGCACTGGTTATCCGACCATAATTCACCACGCCGGTCATGGACGGGTTGATGAAAGCGGGGAGCGTAAATGCGTGAGCATAGAAGTTTGGTACAACAGTGGATTGTTGCTGCGCTGTCCTCTGCATATCTCTGAAGCCAGGGATGGATTTCAGCTGGGTCTGTCTGGTTCAGCGTCCCGGAAAATATGTCCGTACACAGCACGCCACATCCAGTGCATACCGAGTGATTTTCATCGTAGGTGAACAATATTACCCGGCTGTTATTCGTGTACATAATCGCCACTGAGTTTACGGGGGGTAGCCTTCTCGCGGTGGCCCACCTGTTGTGTGTTTTCATGTCACCTTAAACACAATAATCAGAAGTTAGCGTATTTATTTATATCGGAGAAATCCGATGATCTGATAAAGCAATTTTTCATAGATGTCCAGTAGATGTCCAGTGCAACTAATACCGTCACCTGGGCGAAATGGACGTCGCTAATTCAAATCCAGATGTGATCAGTGGAGCCAAATACCTCCAAAAGGCCCTGCTAAGGGTCAGAAACTGATCAGACATGGTCTTCGAATGTACCAACTGCGCTCCTTCTGTGGAAAAAGAGCAAAACTACACGAATTCTCTCCCGAAGCCACCCTCTCATCGTGGCTGGCAGGCCTCAGCATTAGCATTCATCTCATTAACTAATTGCCATGAGCAAGAATAGAATGGAACTGAGTTTCAGGTGAGCACTGCTTGACGTTTAAAGAGTGTCTTTTACGAACACGCAATTTGTTGTTGCATATATATGTTTTATCGAAAGACACATTTTTTCCCCTGAACCTTCCCGGTCTCTTCACATCTCAGAAGCCAAACAGAGGTTCAGCCTGGTTAGTGCTGCCAACAGTGACTGAGAATATCTGGTACTGGATTTGCTTTGTATGTATGTGCAGTGCTTTCATTGTTACCCTCCACAAATGTGTGGGTTTTCTCCAGGCACTCCGGTTTCCGCCCCCACGCAGCACGGATTGATGGAAGTGTCCAGACACCCAAATCCAGGAAACTCCCAGGAGAAGTCTTGACACTCAGTGAAGCTTACTTTGGTAAGGTGATAAATCACGATCATAATCATATGTGTATAGTCCATGGCAATCCACTGTTGCCACCGTCAGTGGTGTGGGTTGTTATACCATACTTCACCATGCTGGTATGTGCAAATTGGTGACGGGTGAGGCTCAGGGACCTGTTCAGATATTCGCTCGCCACTGATGTTGGCTGTGGCCGATTAAAATGATCGAACTCAGGTGGGTTGGGGCAAGCCTTCATCCAGCAGTGGATCGACCATGGCACGGTGACGATGACAATGATTTATTTTGATTTAAAGCTTTCGTGACTGCAGGGATTCATATTATTGGTTCTTTCGGTAAAGTCACGTAGAAGGGAAACAATAAAATATAATAAAAATATAAAACAGTCAAATGGTCGTGAGAATTTTATTGTTTTATATTTTTATTATTTTATTGTTTCCCTTCTACGTGACTTTACCGAAAGAACCAGTAATACAATGATTTATTTAGCAAATCTCAATTTTCAAAAGATTTTTTTGTTACAATAATTAAAGCATGAGCAATGCGCTAGCCACTGAGCCACCGTTCCACCCTTAGTATTAATATATGTTTTTAATTATTCCTCCTGATCCAGTCAGTTTCACTCTGTTCCCACTCTTCCGTTCCACCACGACAACAAGCGCCGACCATCCTTTTATGCTTTTATGAACGCGTTTTTTTCTTTTCTTTTAACGCCCAAACGAAACCCGACGCATAATAAAAGGCGCACAATGCCCGGCCTCTTGATTGTCATGAAAAAAAAAATTCTAAAACCATTACCACGGTGTTTTCTCAATAACCAGCAGGTGTTATGTCACCATAATAATAATAATAATGTGACGTTCCATTCAGAGAATCAGCTATTTGAAATACTGAGCGAACATTCATCTCTGGTGTCCCCTTTGGTCAGTGCATGTCCCCTCGTGCTTTAATTACGAGCAGGGAGAGGGAACAACCTGGCCCTTTCTATCGGATTATCGTGCGATCTAATTAGTTTGGGAATGCTCAATGTCAGAAATTGTCATTTTTTTCTTTAGAAAATAGAGGTTTTTGCTAAATAAATTATCGTCATCATCATCACCGTGCCACGGTCGACCCACTGCTGGATTAAGGCTTCCCCACAAGGCACCACCATCTCTCGCGTTCCTGCGAAGCGACGATCCGCCAAGCACCCACACACGAACTGATTTCATCGCCGCATCTCCTTCAGCGGCTGTCCTCTTGGCTACCACTCCATTGGCTGCCACTCCATTGGCTGCCACTCCCTTGGCTGCAACTCCATTGGCTGCCACTCCATTGGCTGCCACTCCATTGGCTGCCACTCCCTTGGCTGCCACTCCATTGGCTGCCACTCCCGTGATCGACTTTGACCATCAGCCATCTTCCCTTCTAGTGACGTGTCCCGGCACGGCTCGCGAGGGGGTGGGTGGCCAGCACCACGCCCGGCCGCCTTTGTCTCCCTCGTGGCGATGTTTACACATCACACCAGGTACTCATTTCGAGGCCGAGTCGACCTAGGGGAGGCCCAGGACCGGTTCAGATAATCGTTAATGGTGTTGGCCATGAGCGGTAATCGAACTCAGGTTGTCAGGTTCGTAGCTCAGCGCGTTAACCGCTGCACGACCGCTCCCCACACCATCAACACCACAATCATCATCAACAACAATCAATCACACGCTGCCTTTGTATACCAATCATCAACGAATCCACCCGCAAGCATCGCCTGAAACCGGAAAACCCGAGGCGAAATGTACAGCCTCCTCCACCTGGAGGGCACAAGCCTTCACGGGCCTCAGCCTCCACTCACCCTGTTTCTTCCTGTGAACCACCACCACGATGTCATCGTCCTCAATGGAGGAGCACGACAACCGGCCGCCCTGGTGCCGGTTTTGGACGTCCGGGAGGAGCGCCGCTACCGCTGCCGGCACCGCCATCTCCCCGGCCCTGGCGGCCGCTCTGGTCGGACCCAGGTCCTTCCTCCTCCTCGTGACCTTCCTGCTTTTCCGCGTCGCGCTCGTCCGCGAGATCCTCGCGCCGCTGGCCCCGCCGAGTGGCTCCGCCTCGCCGGAGCCGTCCGGGTAGTGGCCATAGAAATCGTCATCGCTCGAGTCGTTGGTGGGGAGGCACCCCGAGGCCTTGGCGATGTTGCTGACGGCGGCGGAGATGAGGTTCGGGCTGTGCGTCGAGTCGACCTCGTCGCTGCCGCCTGTGTTTCCGGCTATTTGTGGGGCGTTGTCTCCTTCCACCATGACGCCGGTGCCTCTTGGAGACTGGGACGGTGGGTCTGCTGTGGTGTTTTCATCTTGACCTGACCTCTTTGTGAAGTCGCCTTGCCTGACGTGTGAGATTTGGATTTCCGGCAAAGAAATGTGACTTTCACGATCGCTGCCCAAGTTTGCTTTCAAGTCAGGGCACGGTTCTTTGCAGAAGCTCACATTTTTGTTTTCTCTCGAGCAGTCCGACGATGATTGATTTGGCCCTCCTTTTGCGTGGCTTGGCTCCCCAGCATTGCCCGTATTGGCGTCCACCGCCGATTTAGATTTGCAGGGCATTTCCTTTGCCCCCTTTGGATCTTCAAATACAACACCTTGAGCTCTCTTCCTCGGCTTTTTAGCCTTCTTCTTGGGATGACTGTGCAGATGTCTGGAGAACAGAATGTCGCCGGCATCTATTTCTTCATTCAAATCCGAAAATTCCATAAAGAGTGGCTGCGACGGATGGGCCTTTCTCTCGTCCCGTCGCTCGACATTGGGAGTCAATTCGGGTCCACGTTCGCGATGATCCGTCGCATCCGAAGGCCCGATCGTCTCACTGCAGCCGCGTGTGGCCTCTGGATTCACAGTCCCCTGCTGTGGCTCCGTCGGTGGAGGAGAAGGAAGCTCCAGCTCAGCGTCGCTATGAACGCTATCCAACGTTCCATCGTGGTGATCGCCACCCGGCAGAGCCCGGTCGATGACGCTGACAGGAGGCTCGCGTGAGGAAGCCTTTGCTTCCTTCCCGCTCACCTTCTGCTCCCTGCCGTCAGCCTCGCACGCCACGGAGCTTGGAAATTCTACCGCAACGTCAGGCGCCACTCGTTCATCCGCGGTGACTGGGGGCTCTCCGGATGAAGCCTCCCTCCCTTGGTCGCCACTTGCTAGCCCTGCCTCCTTGATCCACGCGAGCATCTTTGCAAATGGGTTTGAATCCACGTTGCTCTCCGCAGCTCCCTTGGGCGGTGCCTCCTGTTGGCGCGCCACCGAAGTCGCCTCCTCCGCCGTGGGGCTCTCTCCGCGCCCGCTTCCCGCTCGGTCGGTCGCGGCCGCAGGCCCCACCGAGTCTGAATCACTGGCCGATGGCACGATCGCAACCCCGCTCGGCTCTGCGGCCTCTCGGGCCGCCGGCCGGGCAACGCCCCCGCCGACCAGCAAGTCGATCTGCGAATGGGAAGTGCGATTCTCACGCTCCGCTTCGACTCCATCCACCGCGGACGTGGAATCAGCCCGATCTCTTTCTGTCACCCGCTCGGCTTCAGGCGAGCCGACCGGAGGCCGCCGACCACTTGCGTCGCCATCTTTCCCGTCCGTCGTGCCGAGCGCGACGGGCGGCTCGGCGAGCGCCGTCTCGCGCGACTCCTCAGCAGGGCACAGGCCGGCCAGCGCCAGCGGGCCCGGCGTCCACTGGTCGAGCGCCGCAGAGCGATAGGAGAGCTGGAAACGGACGGAGTCGAGGCCCTGCCCGGAGAGAAACCGCAGAGCCGCGTGAAGCACAGATGCAGTGCTCATGTCCAGTACCGATGACCATTTAATCCATTTAAAACAATAGATATATCTACTTGGTTCTTTCGGTAAAGTCACGTAGAATGGAAACAAAGTAACGAAAATAAAACATAATAAAATAAAATAAAATTCTCACGACGTTTCGGCCACAACCCAAGTAGCCTTCTTCAGGTGAAGGAACAGAACTGTCGGGACGACAGCCCTTCAATGAACGCTGCTAAGATTCGTAGCGTCTTTTAAGCTAGGTGAGAGAAGTGAAGCGCCTTGACAAAGGAGTTTACATATCAAGCAGGAGAATTTAGCATTGAAATCGAAAGCGCGGGGAAGGACAACGGTGGCGGCACCGCGCGCAAGCATCGCTGACGGCACTCGCCTGCAGCGCGTCGAGCAGCGCCGGCGATTGCTCGGCGTCGAGGAGGAGGGCCCCGGGCTCGTACCACTCGGCGAGAGCGGCGGCGTCAGACAGCAGCGAGTCGACGTAGCACGCGAGCAGGCCATCGTTGAGCGCCACGCGCAGCCATGCGCGGCAGCGGCCCACGTCTGTCCGCACGAACTTCAGCGAGTTCAGCTGCTCCATCACGTTGCTGAGGCAAGAGAGGCGGAATCGCGACGTGAAAAAGAAGTCCAGAATCAGAGTCTTTATTTATCTTGGAGGAAATCCGATGAGCTATGAAGCTCTTTCTCACAGCTGTCCTCCTAGTGACCAGTTCCCGGTGCTTGTTGGTTACATTACAGATGCACAGGAACCCGGTATTTGCTAATGCATGTTGCCATGCTGCAGTATATACCGTGCTGGGGAAAGCCCAACCTTACATACGAATAGCTTTGACCAGGGGCACAACCTGTTGTGGGTGTCTTTTATCAAATCTAAACGCGTCTGGACACCCACGACACACACGGTGGTTGGGGCCCTGCCACGCAGAGAGATTTACTTTGCAAAGTGACAATAGCTCAGCTGTCGGCAAAATAAACTGTCCCTACTGTCGTTGATCTCTGCATCGTCGTCTTGTGCCGCCGGTTTTGGGCAACAGCGTCGTGGTAATGGAGTGGCGTTTGCCGACGGGCCGATCGCAGCTACGGCTAGCGTGGTTGGGATGGGCCCTGGTGGTGCAAGGATGAAATGGGGCACCCCGGTCCAATTCCCGCCTCCCCCCCCCGCCCCCCCCTCCCCGGCTTCATAGCCCTGCGCCTGGGCCCCTCCGATCCATGGGCCCCGGTGCAGCTGCACCGCCTGCACACCCAATCCCTGTGCCACTGCACTGGAGATGAGAATGATACATTCTCTTCAATGGCCTGGCCTATGTTGTTGGGATGTCACGGGAGGTCGTGTCAAGGAAGTGACGTGACGTCGCGCTGTCTTCGTCCAGTTCTACTCTGAGTTCGCCAAGATGCATCGGGGTACAGGGTGAATCGCTGGTCTGACTGGCCAACACTTTAGGCTCGGAATTGCTTCTGTGTTACAAAAAAAAAAATCCAGCCTGGGCTTAAATCATACGCCCGAACTTGTGTTAATTCCACATTGTCCGCTATTTTTACTGCTTAGAGAGTTCTGCATAATTCAGAGCATGGCACAGCCAAGCGGAGTTCGGTTATAACTTACAAAGTTACCAACGCGGCCCCGCGGTAAAGCGGCATATTCCCTTATTTAGAATAATACGCAAAAGTGCGGGTCACACATTAAAACGAAGGGCACGCTCCGTTTAATGAACAAATGTTTTTGCCCGCCGCTAATAGACCGAACGGCGCGAATGCCAAACTGTAACTCAGCCCCCGCTGAATTATTCATCGCGATTTAGGCGATGGCCCTCGCCGAATTTGAATACCGCCACACCGACGCTAATTTTTCACTCACCCCCACTACCCCCACCATCACCCCCCCCATCTACCCCCCACCCCCCCATCTACCCCCCCCCCCCAAGACAAAACCTCCCCACCCCACGTGGAGCCACCCGCCGGCTAACGAATATTCGAGCGCCGTTGGAAGATAAAAAAAGGCAACGGAGCGTCCCGGTGAAAGGAACCACTGCAGCAAATTCCGTAATTACGATAGTTACTTTAGCCCCCCGTGAGACCTCACGCGCGCCGTCTTTTACTGCTGCTGCTGCTGCTGGCGCCGGGGCGATGCCTCACTGGCGAAAATTGAGAGGAATAACTCCCACGTTTCAAGCGTCTTGGGCGGGGGGGGAATTAAAGCAGGATGTATCGTTAACACTCCGCCAGCACTACGGTAGATCCCCGGGTGTGTTAACGATGATTTATCCGTTTTTCCGGAGAGGCACGGAATCCTCCTCTACTTCCCCCCAAAATTATACCTCCTCCCTCCCCCTCGTCGTCTTCTCTGCAGCTACACGTGCATCTAATTGATTCTTGACCGAACTCTTGAATGCAATCGTTGGGCGAGGGTGGCTTGTCACTCATCACACACCCCATGATGTGGGTTGTCCTGTGAGTGGCGCGGTGGTGCAGTGGTTAGCAGCGCTCCGTGCTATGAGCCCGTTGAACCTGGGTTTGATTTCCGGCCGCGGATACCATCAGTGGTGAGTGATGTCTGAAACGGTCCTGCACCCCACCCCGATGCTCTCTTGCCAAACCGCACTGACCAGCGTGGTGAAGTATGGCCAAATTTCCCCACAAACCGCACGTTGTAGGAAGATTCTCAACCAGCAGTGGATTTACAAACAGAACTGTACGTGTACCAGTGCCGGATTAAGCTAGTGCGGGGCCTGTAGTATATGTTATAAAGGAGCTCTAAATAAAAAAAAACACATAAATATTAAAATAAAAATTTTACTTGCACAGTAAAGTAATTGTATTTTTGTCATTTGCTATATAGCCAGATAATACGAGAAATCGCTAACCTTAAAACGCAGTCGTTCATAAAAGTTGAAGGCAGTATAGTACTATAGTGATAGAGCAAGTGCAGAATCACTGAACCAGAATTGATAGCTTGAAAGCATTTAGCGTGGGGTCCTTCAAAGTGCGGGTCCCGTAGCTACTACACATGTCGCTACTTTGCAGCGAGCATAATGCGGCACTGACGTGCACGCATGTACGCGTGTATTATTGTAACGGGCCTGTGACTAAAATCACGTGGAATGTGCAGTCCAATGTCACCTTCTCTCAGAAGCTAAGCAGGCGCGAGCCTGGATGGTGCTTGGATGAGCGATCAACAACCACGCCCGCTTTGCCTTTGTCTCCCCTAGCGGCGATGTTTACACATTCATTGCTCCAGGTAACCATTTGAGGCCGAGTCGACCTAGCGGAAGGCCCAGGACCGGTTCAAAACACAAACAAGCACGTACACACAAGCACGCTCGCGCGCGCGCACGTGCGCCTACGTACCTGTGTGTGACAGCGCCCAACACCGGCCAGAAGTGAGGGTTTGGCAACGGCGCGGCTGGGGGCCCCGGGGCCCACCACCTCCACAGTGGGAGCCAGGCCTGCTCGGCGCGGAGCAGGTGGGACCGCAGGCCGTGCACCAAGGCGGCCTCGAGGGCCGAGCACAGCGCCAGGCCGCGCTCGTCCTCGCCGTCGACGGGGCCGTCTGCCCAGGCCACTTGTGCCTCGCGCAGCGCCCGCGCCGAGCGGCGCAGCTCCCCCACGATCCGCTGTTGGGGGTGCGTGGACCCGCGATGGGGGGGGGGGGTACACGTGTGAGAGGGCTTGACCCCGCCGTCCATCAACATCGAGAAACTATTTTAAATTGATTTGAGGCTTTGGTAACTGCAAGAATACACACTGTTTTGGTTCTTTCGGTAAAGTCACGTGGGTAAAAAATAATTAATAGATAATTAATAGATCATTTAATAGATAATTTTCTACCTACGTGACTTTACCGAAAGAACCAAAGATTATTTAAAATGTAAATATGTTTTTTTTTACGTCATCAGGTAAGGCCAACTTGAGCTATATAGCTTCTGTTTCAGAAGTGACCTGAAGTGGCTCATTATGTGGAAAATAACAGCAGCCAAATACTCTTAAACGCGTGGTGATGTTGTTTCTGAACGTGGAGGGGAAAGAACCGGAGGACCCGGAGAAAAATCCACGCGACCACGAAGGAGAGAGAGAGCCGTCCCGCAAAACTCCAAATTCACAGCAGGCACAAAAGGGGAGTGAGTTCACATCATTGACGTCCTGGAAAATATCTCAAATATCCTTTGCTCTGACGCCTCGAGATGTACTGCATTGGATTATATCACAAAACTACTTCTGAGAAACGTTCAAGTGCCCGAATTTATCCACAAAGTAGAGGATGCTGCATTTTCCCAATGGCCTGCTACACAGAAACATTAATAGCGTTGTCAGCCAAGCTTAAAATCAAGAGCCAACCTCATGTTCCTAAATCTCACAGCTGGACGTTAGCTGAAGTATATAAGACATCTAATTAAATTATGCTATTGTGTGTGTGTGGATGCTGTCATTGGCAGCAACGAAGGGCAGAGGAGCGACGCTCACAACAACGAGCGGAGCGCCGGGCGGTTAAAACACAGCAAGTTGGCATAGTAGGGGGTACAGGTGGTGCATCAGCCAGTCGTCTCAGTCAGTCGACCCGTGCCACCTGGGGTCTGTCGCGTGACCCCCTGCCAGCGGGCGTTCGACACTTCACGTGGCCTTAAAGTGCACCTAGCCTGGCACAAGCGTCGTGGTGACATCACCGCCACGCGGTACGTGGCGGTAAGTGGCGGCGGTTGTTGGCGTTGGCGACTGTGCCGACACCGCCGACTCGCTCGCCACGAGAGCCCGGTCCAGTCCCGGGCGAGACGCCTTATCTCCTGACGCCGCCTCGTCTCGTCCCGTGGAGGCTTGGAACAGGGTGGGGCGGGGAGGGGGGGGCGTGGAGGCGTGCGTGGAGCAGTGGTGGCGGATGCGATCGCAATCCTCACCACTCACCCTCTTGATCTCGCTCGGATCCCCCATCGCGTCGCTCCAGCAGCGTGCGGTGGACGGCGCGCGCTCGTCCTAGAATAACAACACAACGAATAACAACACAACGAACGATAGTTTACAGCCCTTTGTCAATCCACTGCTGGATGAAGCCAGCACACCCCCCCATCCCCCACC